CAATATTACGAATGTTAATAACGCCATTTTTTGGTGGTCCAGCGCCATTTTGGTCAAACATTCCTAAAATATTGTCACATTTGAGGGGTTTGCATGACGAATATAACGGGTTCTGGAATAGATTGCAATTATTGGCACTTCTTTACGATTACAATTAAGTATGACAGCTCACAACCAGTGACTGTCTAAGACTCGCTCCATTCCTTACTGCGACTGCCTTGAAAGGCGACTGTCTTACGAATGAATCGTTCTTCTCTGCACGGCTCCTTATATAGTCTAGCGCGTACCCATGGAAAATATTTGTTGCTTGCGCGTACCCATGGAAATTGTTCATTCCGCTGATATGGAAAGAGCATTCCGTATCAAGTCTGTCTCCACCAATCCGCATCTCCATAGAACGTGTGTTAGCGAGCCGTTGTGTAGCAATGGACTATTCCGGCTTTCAGGCGTCTTGTCACAATATGGTTCTCGTGTAAATATCATCCTGTATATAGTCATTCACTCGTGTATCTCGACCACCTTCTTTACATTGTAAGAATAATCTACACGTGCAACATAACATTACTATCCACTCATACTTGAAAAAGTATAAACTACTAGGTTTAAAACCCTAACGGACCGTTGATAAAATTTAAAACATATCTGGTTCATTGAATCTGAACTACGTACAAGCACTTTTTACCTGTCCTTATTACTTACGTACAATTTCAGAGTTGAAAGTCGCGGGTTCGAGTCCCGATGAGGTGGATTTCTTTTTTTTCAATTGACCCAATCCTTCCAGCTACACTATGGCCCTGGGGTCGACTCAGCCTCTAACAGAAATGGGTACCAGGAAGCTTCCTGGGGGTAAAAGGCAGCCGGCGGGTAAGGCTGACAACCTTACCGCCATCTGTGAGCCGATTGTCTAGAAGATGTAGAAGCGCCAACTTCTCACAACCCTATAGGCCTTCACGGCCTGTTACAGGGATAACTTTACCTTTACTTGTGCGAGGTCTGGGGTTCTCAAGGCGGTGAATACTGCTTTCTGGGACGTGACGTCGTGTACTTAATGTTTAATCTTAGAGGCGAACATTACATATCACTAAAAACCAGCATTCAAACATGTAAACACTGGCCAGTGTAGGTAAATTAGCAAACGACTACAGGTGAACTTGGTACTTGTCCCCGTGCTTAATTATTTAAGCACTACGCCATGAAGGCGTATGGAGAAATGGATGTAGAGATCCATACTTTTATTGACCTCGGCACTAGTTGGAGGTGAGCTGTCAGCCTCACGCCCCGGCCGCGTAACCCCCGGTAACCACTGAATAAGAGGCTGGGTAGACCGCAGAGGCGGTCTGGACGATGTGCAGAAAATTCTTGACCCTACCGAGATTCGAACTCCGACCCCTCCGTCGCCCAGCCCGTAGGCAGTCGCTGTACCGACTGCGCTATCGCGGCTCCTATACAGGTGAACGTGAAAAGTAAAGTACTTGATGATGGCTTAATGTGCCGAAACACGTAAGAAACTAGGAACGTACGGTTTATCCACACTTCCTGTTGTGGCATGGACACTGGACCCATTTCCATCACCGAATGCAAGGAAGGGAGGGGGGGGGGTACTTATTCATTTTGGCACATTAGGAAGAGGTTGAATCGAACACTACCCTAATTTTCTACTCACAGGCACATCCAGTGATGATACCAGCTCTTATGTTACCTTCTGCCCCTTATGTCTACATATGCTCCTCGGGAACCAAGTGCCATGCCCATACAAAACTGCGAGTAAAATTATGCTTTTTTTCGATATCTTATATTTTTTATGTTTTTAGATAGGAGGTGGGGAAAACAAAAGATTCTGAACAGAACTGTAAAACACATTTCCTGACTTGATTGTTCTTTTCTTCGTGAGTGCAATTTCAATTTGTGACTGTATTTCCCAAATATTTTAACTTCGCATTACTAGTGATACCAATTCTTATAATACTGTATGTCATATGTAGATCTAACGAAAACCCTTGTCTCGTATTTTCAGCGTGTTAATACGTTAAGTTATTGTGACAAAATTTTTATGTAAACAAGATGTAAGAATTCCTGTGTTGACACACAAGTTCCTTTTGAAACAATCAAACACGCTAAAGCGAATAACATTATGTTACAACTTACCAGCAAGTGGCTTGTTTTGTGCGAGCTGAGGATACTTCGACCTGTCTCTACAACCGCTGTTCACACTTCCGCGCCACAAAATTCACTACCGCGTTTGCTAAACCCTCCATGCGTATTTGTGTAATGCCCATGAATCAACTATGGATCTGCAAGCTGCTTGATATCCCTGGCGCCACCAGTCGTGAAACGGAAGTAATCACAGACAGCTCAGTGCCATCTACCGGCATAAGTTTCAATTTCTACAATGGTCGAAATATGTTCCAATCCAAGCCCTAACTCTCAAGAGTTCACGCATTTAATGTAAAATGTTTGAACATTGCTAACTAACTGTTTCTGAAATTTCCATTTGATTTCATGGCACCACATATTACTTGGGAATACATCGATATTCAACAGGAGTATTTACTAATAAGGCGCGCTGTTCGAATTGTGAAATTCAGATTCACAAAAATAACATCAAAATTTTTATTATTTTCTTATAAAATCGTCCATAAAAGAAATTATATTTTCAAGAGATGAATCCAGTAATGGTATATCTGAACTCGACTCATGCCGGTTTTTACAAATTTTATAATTTCACAAACCAAGACACAATTCTTCCTCCCTAACTTCAGGATTTAATATTAGTTCTGTAATACCGAATCCTTAAAATATTTGGTAGGACTCCCTGGATGGGCCATCTAAAAGGATTTTGCTTACATAAGACACCAGATGACAGAGAAATGCGTCATACACCTAGGCTGTAAATGAAATTTTAACCCACAATATTAGTTAGTACTCTATAAATCTGGCCATTGCTAGAACTCTTCAGAATTTGAGCCACATTATCAGTGTCTGAGAGGTTTAATTTGACTGTACACATTAGAGCCTACACAACTACTATTAACGGTCACACACTATTTGTAGGCATACTTATAATACCATCTAGTTCATCTGAATGCTTACCATGCTGCTAACAGAACCAAGTGAAAGTACTGTTATGACAATAAGCAAATTCCAAGTTTCTATGAAAATATATACCTAGGCACTGGGCATAACAACTTTTAAACTCAGTTCACAATGAGCCAGAAACTGTTGCAACAGTTGTGGAATTGTAAACACAATTTACCACATTAATATATTGGGTTTTCGGACTTTATCCATCGTCCTGGTTTTAAGATAACTAACGACGTTTTGGAAACTGGATCTGTTTCCGTCCTCAGGTGAAGGAAAACACCTATTCTGTTGGACGTCCAGTGATTGAGGCTAGCTCTTTCTAACGGACCCAACAGAATAGGTGTTTTCCTTCACCTGAGGACGGAAACAGATCCAGTTTCCAAAACGTCGTTAGTTATCTTAAAACCAGGACGATGGATAAGGTCCGAAAACCCAATATATCAGTGTGTTATACACCATCGTCAGAATCCTATAGTAACTACAATTTACCACAGTTGACCATCAGTCCATTGCCCTAATCACAACAAACATTTGGAATACATCATCAGCTAACATGAACTATAGTTAATATTTTTGTGGTATACCGCCAACAGAAGGTGGAATTTTGTCAGTATCCTGTTGCCATGTGTTAATATGGTGGACAAAGTAAAGCCCATCAATAGTTTCTCAATGATTTTACATGAATTTCTGTGATTGCTGGTATTTTATATCTGGAAAAGGGCTATGATATGTGACTGAAGTGTGGGAATGTACTCAAAGCTGATCACTTAGAACAAAAGAATGTTCAATTTTCTGCTCATTTGAATATTCCATGACTCAAGCTGAGACATTGCATTCATGGATATTTTATCACGTCTGTTCATATAATCTTCTATCATCAAATTTTAACATTAGGCTTTTTAGCACAAAGCAGCAGATATATTCAGAATTAGCACCAGTGTCAATTTAAGTGAAGAAAGATATGGCTTTAGCAAAGACCCAGTCAATCAATAGCTCCAATGATGAAGTGCTTATAATCCACAAGATTGTTTAAATTATGATCTTCAGGGTTACAGAAACATGTAGTCTTGTAGGCGGTAACCACCTATGGAACTACACAATTTTGTAATCCAGAAGACCACAATCAAAACTGTCACCATGGTGAAGACCAAAAAACTCACACAAACTTTTCTTGAAACGCTGATTGCTGATCATTGCTAAAATGTTTAGTCACTCAGTGCTGAATTAATTTATTTTTTGCTTACTTCATGATGGCTTATCAACTACTTTGGTTGACTGGCATCTTTAAATATCTAATAGCAGTATACTTGTGATGGAAAATATACCAGTACCGTAAAGTAACATCTCAAACATTTTTGGATGACAGAACACATGTCAAATTTCGTACATCTTCTAACACAAATGAATGACATTCATTACCTCCATCAACCATGATTTTATGTATGGGGCAAATTGCCTAACACAGAAATTCTAACTTTCCCGTCTATCGTTTTTTTTCTTTTTTGTGTCACACATGATTACACATCGACATGACTGGAAAACCATATTATGCCGCATTAAAGTAAGCAAAAAGCAATGTTATACTTGTTAAACATGTTAACCTCACTCGCATACAAAGAAGATTGCCCCTCATTGCGTTGATTTGAAGTGTGCTCCCTACATTAGCTATACTGTTTGTGCTGCAGAATCGAATAATATGACACTGTCGGCATATTTGCAAGCGTTTATGTCCTAGATATTTAGATTATCCTGCTATAAGAGTGGTATGTTTACCGAAGAATAAAAACATTGTAAAGTATTTGACTTGTCCTATATCATGTACAATGATCCATGGATATGATATGAAATAAATAAATAAATAAACATCGTAAACAATGACATGTGGGCTTTCCCCTGGTTCATCAGGTATACTGACTGACGTTTTCATGGTTTATCATAGTCGATCGTAGTCCCTCCGGTCAATTGCTAGGCTAGTATTTTGATTCGACGGGATTAGTCCTCGACTGTTTCCTTCCAAATCTCTTCCAATTCAGCTATCATCCTACCCTTCTAACCTATATAGATTATCTAATGACAGCGCAGTAAAATAACCGATAAAAATGACGTGTGGTATCCATGGTTTGGTGTTTGGCGTCTGATTTTGTCACGAGTTTTGATTTGTGCAAGTAATAATAGTGTTTTACATGTTACATTGTCGGACTTTTGAGCCTCATAACTCTTTTGGTTAAATGAACTTTAAATGAAAATTTCATGAACATCATTTCACATCGCTACTGTAAGTAATAATATTTAAATTTAATATATGAGGTTAAACACGTCCAAAGAAGCTTTTAATACTAACGTAAGATAATGTATTTTGATGCAAAGAAGTACTTGATTATAACTGATAATCAGAATCAGCATATCCAATAACTCTGGGATTCTGTTGGGTTGAAATTTGTATCTGTAATTAAATAGCAGATTGTATAAACTTGTAGGCTTATATGCACATGGTACGAAGTAGTACGATAGTGCCAACCTAATCGTAGAAGAATACTGATATATGCGCTTTTGTGTGTTTAAAACTATTATGACACTCGTGATGTGCATGGCATTACGTTCTTATGAGGTAAAACTGTGCCTATGCTTAACTAATTGAGCACTAAGCCATGAAGGTGTATGGGGGAGTGGATGTATAGATCCACATTCTTTACCTCTACACTAGTTAGAGGTGAGTGGTTAGCTTCACGCCCCGGCCGCTTTACCCCCGGATATCCATTGGATAGGAGACTGGGTGGGCCCTAGAGCCAGTCTGAATGACATGGAGAAGAGGAAATTCTTGGCCCCTTGGTCATCTGTTGACAAACAGAAGTGTGCATATGTAATTGGAGTATAAAGGTGATGCTTTTTTTTTTTTTTTTATTTTCACTAATTGTCATTCCAGAACTATGTCCTTCAAGTTTCAAGAGTTGCAATTTTGAAAAGAACTGAGCATGATGTTTCTGCAAGAAAGATGTTTAGTGTAGTCAGCATGTTGAATAATGAGCATCTAATGAAGCTCTCATTTGGCACCAAATGCCAGTGGAGGTGCAATATCAAAAGATGTCACCAGAAAGTCACACTTAAACTCTCTGTCGTTATTGAAGAGAGGGTCAATCTGGGTCCCATCATCACATCTTTCTCTTGGCATGCTTATAATGCCCAATAGACTGCTAGCTTTTACCCTCCATGGACCATCACTATAACTTTATAGCCAGGTGCTCATAGTCAGATCATGCAAATAATGTGACATTCTGCTAAGTGGAGCAACTAGAAACTGAGTGGCACTCACACACACCACTCAGGTCATACATGGAGGAGCAAATGTGGCATACTCTGCTGAGCCACATGGGCACCTTTGATCAGATCCTTAATGTCAGCATGTGTTTTCCCCTGAGAGATGTTCTGCAGTAGATTATTAATGTTGATATTTAAAAAAACTGCTTCCATTGTATATTTAACACATAAAGCCTAGGCAAGAGCTTCTCTGTGAATTTATTTTGGTAGAACTCTATGGTTTTAGTCCACAAGTGAACTATACTGACTGAGCGACCGCTGCTTGTCAGCGAAGTTAGAACCAACTTTAGCAGATAGAGGGTGTCGCATGTTCAGCACAACGAATTCCCATGGCCGTTAATTTCGGTTTTTTAGACCGGGGCTGCTATTTCCTTGAAATAGCTCCTGTTATCTTCACAAGGCTGAGTGGACCCCGTTCCAGACCCACTACTTCTCAGAAAATCTGGCAGCACCGGAAATCGAACCCTGACCTCTGGATCTGTAGCCAGGAACTCTGACCACTAGACCACAGAGGTGGTCACTGTGGTAGATTAGATAATGAAAAAGAACTGTTTTATTTAATATTCTGGAATTACTGTTTTCAAACCACTATTTTTACAGCTCTTACTTGTTTTACAATAATAAAACATATGAAAGCAGTGAGAAATCATAAGGAAGAACCAGTGACGTGTAATTTGGATTGTGATGACTGACTCCACTCATTCCCTGCCATGTGTTCCATGCTGGGACAGGACACCACTGATTAACTGACTCCAGCTTCTGTTCCCTCACTGTGAAGTAGGTACTGGGGCAGTAAACAGCTTACTCTGCATAAATCCAGCAAAGATGGCATTGATCACATCAATGCCTGATGATGGAGACAAAAACATTCTCTGAAATATCAGATACTAATTGTACACCTGATTGTCCAAGAAGACATGACTGTTGACTTTATTCTTTATGACTGTACAGGAGACTGTCTGCAGAACAATCAATGACAAACAGTAAAGTCTCAGAACAATACTAAACAAAAACTGAGAATATAAATACACTATTGCTAAATAATGTGACAGACACACTCCATAATTGTTTTTTCTCTCACACAAGTTCATATAAGAGCTAGCAATTGTATTCAGCATGTAACATACACATGTTACTGCATAATGAGGAGCTTCATAACTTGTACTCTTCTCCAAGTATAATTAGAATGATCAAGTCAAGGAGGATGAGGTGGGCAGGTCATGTAGTATGAATGGGGGAGACGAGGAATGCGTATAGGATATTGGTGGGAAGGCAAGAAGGAAAGAGACCACAGGGAAGACCAAGGCATAGGTGGGTGGACAATATTAGAATGGATCTTAGAGAGATAGGATGGATGGTATGGATTGGATAGATCTGGCTCAGGATAGGGACCAGTGGAGGGCTCTTGTGAACACGGTGATGAACCTTCGGGTTCCATAAAATGCTGGGAAATTCTTGAGTAGCTGCAGAATTGGCGGCTCCTCAAGAAGGGCTCAGCTCCATAAGTAAGTAAAACATACACATGTTGGTTAGTAACATGAGATTATGAGACAAACCAATATTATTCTCATAAATAAGCAAAAGGTAAGCTTTGTGCAGGTGCAGATCATTCTGTATCTTTCTCTCAATAACAGTAATCACATGCTCTGCTTCTGCGCATGTATACCAAATTCTTGTTTAAGCTGTCTGCACTGAAAATAAAATTTTATCAAAAACAAGTAGAGATACCTATGTATGATGCAAGATTTTCACAGGGGTGATTATGAAGAGTTCTGCCCTGTCTGTTGAAAGTCAGTTGATGTTGGTTAATTTTCAACAGACTACACAGCGTTATATCCCAGAAAATAGAACTCTTCAAAGAGAAGCACCCGTTCTCTCCCAGGATATGGGTGGTTCTGAGGTCAAAAATGATGGACTTATACTTCCACTCCCCAAATGTCTTCATGGCATGGTGCTTTATTAATTAACCATAGGAATAACTTCACCTTTGCCTTTATATATGCATATATTCCTTTTTCCTTTTTTTTTACAAAATTCAGTTTAAAAATACAAATTTGGTGAATATGAAACAAAATATGTCAATAAAACGGTTTATATGTATGTTTATTCATAATAATTTATTTTTTAATCATGCCCTAATTTGAAATTGGATTCTAGAATGCTACTGTTAAGTAGAGCCGCGCCGTAGCTCAAGCAATTAGCCGCTGGCTTTCCACCGCGGCGGCCCGGGTTCAGTCCCGGGTCTGGTCAAGTGGGATTTGTGGTGGACAAAGTGGTGCTGGGGCAGGTTTTCTCCAAGTACTTTGGTTTCCCCTGCCAGTCTTCATTCCACCAATTGCTCCACAATCACCCTCACCTATCATCTGGGGCTGGCACAATAGGCCAGAAGTGGCCGCAGTACAAGGGACTTAGTCCCACCCCACTAGCAATAAAAAAAATGCTACTGCTAATGACAGGCAGACACATTACAAGGTTGTCTGTAGCATAGACCCAGAAGGCAAGTTCCTTATGCTTTCAAAACACATTGCTAAAGAATAAGTGCTTATTTTTCAGACACAGCTGCAGTGATGTCTCTGAACTTTGGCCACATATGTCGACTCTGTATGGAACGAGATGACACATTTGTTCCTCTTTTTGAGAAAGGAGGATGTCTGCTTTATAGAATCAAGACTCTAGCCCCAAAGTTGAAGGTTGGTTTTTGTACATAGCTGCTTGCCTCCTTTTACTGTTTTATTGCAGTCAGCTACTTATATTTTAATATGACATACCTAGAATAAGGTACATTACATATTGTTTCACATGCTCAGAGCACATTATTATAGGTTTGGGTATGTTTACAACAAAAACAAAATGTGTATATTAGTTTCACTGTGCTTATTTCTCCACCTCTCTGTATGTAACATCTCAAGAACTGCTGAACAGAATTTCCTGAGATATGACATTTGGGAGCTTTTTAACAGTCAAATTTTGGTTAAAACTGGAGAACAATACTGGACACTTTATATGAAAACTGGTATGGATCTTTATGTGAGCTCAAACATAACTCACTAATGCATATGAGAGCAAAAAATGTTTTAAACAAAAGTTCTGTCGCAACTTCCAGTTTGTGTCCCCCTAAGGGGAACTGAAAAATGGAGCTCTGTTGGACTCTTCTCATTGATCCTATGTGGAAGCGTGGGTGAAGAGCTTCACCATATTCAAATGTATGCATATATTGTTCCCCATTTACTTTTTACTTCCCACAGAGGCTTGCATTTTTATTTCTTTTTTTATGATTATTCACATCACAGTAATAACAAGAGACTGCCACTTGTCTGAATCAGTAAACCAATGGGCCACAACAATGTCATCCCAAAAAAAATGGGAACAAAAGTTTCAACAAAGCATCATGAACCCTTCATGACACAGGACTTCCTTTCAGTTCTCTCTGTAACTATGGAAACAAATGTGTCTTCTTTCAGTTGTCTTCTGGAGATGGTCTACCATCACAAGTCTGCCAGCAATGTGCTCAGCAGGTAAATGCATCGTATGACTTCAAGCTGAGATGTGAAAGCAGTGATGCAACTCTAAGACAGTACCTTAGTAAAATGCAAACAAACCATAAGGAAGGCATACAGGTGTGTATGATTTCCATGACTCTCTGGCCTGTAGTCCACAAGCAGACTATACCGATTGAGTGTCTGCCACTTGTCAGCGAAGTTAGTGCCAACTTTAGCGGATAGAGGATGTCACATGGTCAGCACAACAGATTCCCACGGTCATTAATCTTGGTTTTCTAGACTGGAGCCACTATTTCCTTGAAATAGCTCCTCAATTATCCTCACAAGGCTGAGTGGACCCTGTTCCAGACCCACTACTTCTTGGAAAAATCTAGTAGCACCAGGAATAGAACCCAGGACCTCTGGATCTGTAGCCAGAAACTCTGCCCACTAGACCATAGATGCGGTCATGATTTCCATGACAGTTTTTCTAAACTGGGTATTGGATATTTAATGATGATGAAACACAACACCATAGACATTTCTGATGCCCTGAAAGTGGCTCTGAAGCATATCCGAGGAACTGTGATCACTGCTGCCTCATGAAACTGACCATTGGAATATATAACTAAGATATGTTAGGGAGAACTTATGCGCATGACTTATGTACTTGGTCTTTGCATGATGTAAACTGTGCAGGGTATTTTCACCTGTGTTTGTATAATATTTTCATCGTCAACTTTGTTTTTGTTGTGGTGGGTGCATAATTTGAGGCTCTGATGAGTCAGTTTTGAAAAAAGTCAAGCACAGTGTCCTCACTTCATGTTTTTATTGTAAAGAGAACATAACAGAGCAAGATAGCATTTTTGCAGGGCCTCCAGAAGGACTGAGTGCTTTGTACAGTGTATGTATTTTGGAAGGTTCATAGAAAAGAATATGATTACAAAGTACAGCTTTCCTTTTACTTACTCTATTTTATAGTGAAATAAACAATAATCCAGTCTACATGTTTTTCCTATTTGGTAACATCACTGACTATATATTTTCAGAAAGACCCTGAAGCAAGTCTGCAGTCTATAACTCAGGAAAATAGTGATGACGAGGACTGGGAGCCACTGTCTATTAAAGTAGAAGTAAAGGAGTGAGTATTCAACAGTCCAAAAACATCTTCCATTTTGGTTTTATATCCAAGGAACATAAGATGATGGGTTAATAGACAACCAGGACAGGGTACATGTGAAGTAGCCTTCTCCAGTAGAGCCAGAAGAAAATAAGGCAAATTGGCAGAGTATGACAAGTGATTTATGGTGATCTAGAGTCCCCGTTCTGTTCTAACTGTGCTCCATAAACTGTAATAGAAGGCAAAATTGTCAACACTGAATGAAATCCCCATTTAAGGATTGTCTTGGGGACAAGATTTCTGCACATAAATTGAGAAAAATCTTAAATGATACTCCACTGTTAGTTACAAATGTTTGCTTTAATCTGTCAAAAATGGGGAAATATATGTTACCTAAGTCTAAAAACAATATAAAGTACTAAATGATGTGCCAAATTGCTACTTAAAGTCAGCATTTTTAGTCTTCTTCCCATGTTCTAATTTTAACATAATTTTTTTTATTGCTAGTGGGGTGGGACTAAGTCCCTTGTACTGCGTCCACTTCTGGCCTATTGTACCAGCCCCAGATGATAGGTGAGGGTGATTGTGGAGCAATTGGTGGAATGAAGATTGGCAAGGGAAACCGAAGTACTTGGAGAAAACCTGCCCCAGCGCCACTTAGTCCATCACAAATCCCACTTGACCAGACCCGGGATCGAACCTGGACCACCTATATAGCTGACCTGTATGTCTCTACTGGTGGAATGCTCTTAGGATCCCATATCTATATGTCATGTCATAAGTGTTCCCCAAGTAAAAAAAAGAAGGGGGGGGGAAGAAACCTCTGTGGTTCTAGTCCGCAAGTGAACTATACCGACTGAGTGACCGCCGCTTGTTGGTAAAGTCAGTGCCAACTTTGGTGGATAGAGGGTGTTGCATGGTCAGCACAACAAATCCCCATGGCCGTTAATCTCGAGTTTCTAGACTGGAACCTCTATTTCCTTGAAATAGCTACTCAATTATCCTCACTAGGCTGAGCGGACCCTGTTCCAGACCCACTACTTCTCAGAAAATCTGGTAGCACCAGGAATCGAACTCTGACCACTAGACCACAGAGGTGATCTTTCCCCAAGTCAAAGGAGACATTGTCTACAAAAGGCCAGGTCTGGTGTATGACATGAAGCAGCTTCACCAGGTGACAGATGGAAATTCCTTGTCATCAAGTCTTACTGACAGAGAACTGATACTGTTCGGATGTCGTGATGGGTTAGAACAAGGTGTATAAACATGGATATATGCAGGGTAGTGGTCACTACCATGCAAGTCAGGAAACGGACCATTCATGATGGACTACTAGGCTGGGCCATAGAAAACAAGGTATAGAACAGGTGAGGTTCCTGGCCCTAAGTGTGTAACTGCAGCTGTACTTAAAAGAATTTAATGACATCCTGCATGCAGATTAAAAACTGTTCTTCTCCTTTGTAAGTAAGAATTAATCACAAAGCAGAATAAATGGGAGAGGTGACTATGATAGTAGATTTGGCAGGTTGGCTGGCTCTCTTACATGATCTACTGAATATGACTTGATGTATCAAATGGAGCAGTTACCACTAGTCAGTGGATCTGTATAATAAGAATTGGCAGGGATCATTGGGTTAGTCACTTTGGCTTGAAGATGGAGAGAGAAAGGCTACTGAAACATTGAAAATTCAGCCCACACCTAGATGGTGCCACCATCAAAAAACAAGATACACATTAGAATGTTTTACAGGGAGTAAAAGGAGTCTTGTAAGTTATAAAGCCACCAATGTGATTATGGCTACTGTAAATTTTGTGTTGTTTACAGGTTAGGAACTGAGGATGGCACTCAATCAGCTGATGTGTGGAAGAACCCTCGGCCAGGTCCTTCAGATGTATGGAATTCAAATGACAAAATGCTGTCTGCAGCTGAAGTAAAGTTTGAAGATAACAAATTGAACTCCAAGGGTCAAGAGAAGAGCAGGAGTGGTAGTAAAAGATTTGCATGTCGTGAATGTAATAAAGTTTTCCCAAGAAGGCAGAAACTCATCAGGCATTTAAGAACTCACACAAATGAGATGCCATTTACATGTGTGGAATGTGGAAAATCATTCCGACGAAGTAATATGTATGCTAAACATATGCAATCTCATGCTGCAGGAGAGAAACCCTATATGTGTACAGAGTGTGGTAAGAGTTTTTGTCACAGCCACATCCTTAAAGAACATATTCGAATCCATACAGGTGAGAAACCATACTCTTGTAACAAGTGCGGGAAGAGTTTTGGACAGAGTGGCAACTTAACAAACCACATGCGAAGCCATACAGGTGAAAAACCCTTCTTGTGTACTGTATGTGGCAGGAGTTTTGGATTCAACTCTACATTGACGAAACATATGATGACACATACAGGAGACAAACCTTACTTGTGTACCGCATGTGGGAAGAGCTTCAGTCTGACATGTACTTTAAAGAAACATATGAGGATACATACAGGTGAAAAACCATTCTCATGTCGTGAGTGTGGAAAGTGCTTCAATCGTAAAGACCATCTGAAATGTCACCTCAAGACTCATACGAACTGTCCCACTGTACCGAACACTGTTGATGTAACTTCTTTAAAACATGGATCACCATGAAATTTAATCCCACAAATCAGTAGGCCTATAGATTAATCTGAAGAACTTTCAGGACTGTTAAGTCCATTGAATAATGTACAGTACAATAAAATGTTCAGTGACACAAAATGTAATATTTGTAGTAAACAAGATGATTATTTACATAATAAGCCAAGTAAAAAATTCCCAGCATATACAGAGTCTTAACAATATAAAACTGTTCAGTAAATAAAGAGCCAGCCATGAGAAAATGCCCAATAGAAGCAATGTGAAATGAAACAAATACCCAACAGATTTTTCAGATAAGAAGTTAGACCTTCTGTGTTGTTCCACACCTGACACAAGGTGGTATTTGATCACCAGTATGTGAATAGATTTCATTCCTATGTATAGGGGTGGTCATAAAGTACCTTTGCAGCAGAATAATGTGCTAACACATGACACTCTAAGGTAGGCTGCACACCGGCATGCGTCAAGACACGATGTCTGCGACATGATGCAAAGAAAGGAGCACAGTAAAACGAATGAGATTATAAAAACCGCCACACACCAGTCTGAGTCCTTCTGCTGATGTCATGACTCAGATCAGTGTGCGGCAGTTTTCATAATCTCATCCGTTTCAACTGTGCTCCTTTCTTTGCATCATGTCGCAGACATTGTGTCTTGACGCATGCTGGTGTGCGGCCTACCTAAAACTGAAATAATAACACATTGAGTAGGCAATGGATTGGATGAGGACCCACTATGGTATGGCCACTCTGAAGTCCAGACCTGATAGTATGTGAAAATCCATTGGTGCTTTGTGAAGGAGAACACTGTCAAACTGTGTTTCACAAATCTCAGAACATCAAAAAATTAATACAGGTGAGAAACCATACTCTTCTAACAAGTGCAGGAAGAGTTTTGGACAGAGTGGCAACTTAACAAACCATTTTTCACCACAGGTGAAAAATCCTTCTTGTGTACTGTATGTGGCAGGAATTTTGGATTCAACTTGACATTGATGAAATATATGATCTATAGTAATAACATCCTCCCACCTACATCTAGGTCTTCCTTATGGTCACTTCTATGCATGTTACAGACTCTGCCAATCACATCCTCCCTGAATTGATCATTCTAATAGTATTAAGCAAGGAGTACAAAATATAATGCTCCACATTCTGCTCCTTTTCTCTGGCCTACTATTACGGCAGCCTTCAGGCCCAAATATTTACCTCTGCATACTATTCTCAAACACACTCAGTCTATGTTTATTCCTTATTGCGAGACCAAGTTTCACAACCACACAAAGCTACAGGCAAAATTATAGTTTTGCACATTTTAATCTTAACTTTTTTTGGCAGCAGGCAAGAAGACAAATATCCTGAACTGAAGGGTGGTAGGCATTCCTTGAATTAATATGTTCTTAATTTCTTCATGCATAAAACTTCACTTTGTTTGCATCGTCCCGAAATATCTGAACTTTGCTGGATTTTCAAAGAATCTGTTAGCTGCCTTTATGTTGCTATTTAATTCTGCATTCTAAAGAATGGACATCAACTGCGTTCACTTCTGGGCCAGTATGCTCACCAGGCTCACCAGCATCTATTAGAACTTCGTGTTTTTCTTTGTGGCACTTATGTTGCAGCCTAATAAATTATCATTAGCATAGACAATAAGCTCTGTCCCAAGCAGTATGAGTAGCACCTCGTTTTCTTATTGGCGTATTATAGAGAAAAGTTTAAAAGCACTGGTGATAAAGCATCTTATCTCAGATTACTTTGAACACGAAACATAACTGCCTAATATTTACCTATATGAACATTACGGCTGGTTTCATATAAAGCGATCTAAAAATATTTCAAATGAACTTTTACTGACAAAGTCGGTCTTCCATTGGAATATGAAACTTACCGCGAATACTGCATTGTATTTCCCTCCTAAATCATATGCTTACTTGAACTACTAGAAGGCTATTGATAGCTGATGTACTGCCTCATTGGATTCCCATTTTTTCTTCAGTATCTGATGAACGCAAACAAATCTGATCAGTAGTTGATCTGTTACGCTGAAACTCCTTGACAATTCCCAGTAATTTTGCCTACATATGTGGTTAACCTCACGGCAGAAATATTGGATAAGATATCGTACGTAGTTGGCAACAATGATATGCCTCGATCAGTTTCGATCAGTTCTATCGCATCCTACGAACGGTTATATATTAGGTACTTATGGTGGTTATGGCTGGTGTGGCGGTGTATAATTGATAGACGGAATTTGGTGCCATACCGATCTGTCAGATAGCAGAGTTATAGTTTGTAAGAAGCAGAATGTTAAAGCCAAAAGCTTTAACTCAGATTTTGAGCCAAGCTAACACAGGTGGTGTTGAAAATACCTTGTGAGTTTTATTATTTTAAGTAATCTCCATTATTTATTGCCACAATCGTGTGATTACTGGCATAAACCCGTAACAGATTTACGATTTCTTGCACACTTCAGTATTTTAGAAAGATTATACGAATGTTAGGACAACAAAAGTATTTAATAATATGAAATTAATAAAATGTATGAAGTAAGGTAATTCTGGTACTATGACTTTGAACAGTATTCAGGACATTGTTGCTTTTAAGTAAATATTTTGCAGACTGCTTAACCAGGAAGGTGCACTGTTGGCATACAGTGGATATGGAGACAAAAATGCTAGAGTAACTGCAGCCATTGCAAGCAATATCTGGTCGGCTTATGAGAAGAATGGCCGCAATGCTTTTAAAGAAGATCGATTGCAGTTAGTTCTAATGGACTGTATGGTTTGTAGCATTTATCTCACTGCCCATATTAATTTTAATGACAGATGCTGAGCAGTATGCTGCAGAAAGTTTATTAGTTCTGGCCACTTACATGATATTGTCACATTACAAGTTATTCACCATTTTTCTGGATTGCATATTCTGGGTGAATGACACATATTCCAAAACTAAAATGTGTTACTGTAAGATGAACTAACGTTTTTCTACAATGTTTAACCTCACGGCACACTGCAACAGAAATCCTTTTAAAAAATGAACACATTTTGTGCTGCTCTTATATGAATGGCATACAGAACAGATTCGGAAATACTGACCAGAGTGATACAGGCTGAATGGACAGTGAGCCTTAAAAGAATGGGAGAATTAGCGGTGGTCGAAGCACAGATTGTACCATAATTAATGGAGTTATTTAAAACCATTTCTTCATTGCTTTTGTCTGGATTAATGTTTCCTTGAATAATACTACATTTTAAATTTGAGCACTATGCATGAACATCACATTAGTGTTGTGCAGTAGTAATGCCTTGAATCGGTGTTTATTTTCCTTTATTACTGTTTATAGTCATTGTAAATAAGTCTATACAGTATGGGATTAAGTTATGTAATTGAGTTATATCAAAGGTTCACTGTTTATTCCATTTCCTTATGGATTTTTACTCTCCACCGTAATATTATGTTTGGTTTCATGGTAGGGTTAATGTAATGTACAGTTTACTCTCCATTGTGAATTTGAAATTTTCACATGAATGGTCCATTAAATTTATAAAGTGCAGTAATATAATGAAGTGAAGTGAAATGCAAACACAATGTGAAGGTCAAGAATGGTGGAGCTGTGCCTCCAGTCCCCCATGTCTTCATGTCATAGTGCTCAATTAATTAAGCACATGCTTCAACATAACACTTTTACTGGATGTAAGGTCTGAAACAAATTTTAGTATTGTGTATGGACATTATGACTGCCTCTGTGGTCTAGTGGTCAGAGTTCCTGACTACAGATCCAAAGGTCTGGGTTCGATTCTCAGCACTACCAGTTTTTCTGAGTAGTGGGTCTGGAACAGGGTCCACTCAGCCTCATGAGGATAATTGAGGAGCTATAAGTAGCAGCTCCAGTCTTGAAAACCGAAATTAACGGCTGTGGGGATTTTTTTTAAATCCTCACAAGGCTGAGTGGACCCCATTCTAGACCCACTACTGACCATGCAACACCCTCTATCCACTAAAGTTGGCACTAACTTCGCCGACAAGTGGTGGTCGCTCAGTCAGTATAGTTAGCTTGTGGGCTAAAACCACATTTTTTTTTTATGTGGACATTATATGTACACAGTGTCTGTGGTCAGAGTTCCTGGCTACAGATCCAAAGGTCTGGGTTCGATTCCCGGCGCTACCAGATTTTCTGAGAAGTAGTGGGTCTGGAACAGGGTCCACTCAGCCTCGTGAGGATAATTGAGCTGTTTCAAGGAAATAGCGGCTCTGGTGTAGAAAACCGAAATTAATGGCCATGGGGATTTGTTGCGCTGATCATGCAACATCCTCTATCCACTAAAGTTGGCACTAATTTTACCGACAGGCTGCGTCATAGCTCAAGTGGCTGGTCACTGGCTTCCCACCATGGTGGCCCGGGTTCAACCCGGGTCTGGTCAAGTGAGATTTGTGGTGGACAAAGTGGCGCTGGGGTAGGTTTTCTCCTAGTATGTTGTATTTTAGCGTCCTGTTGCACTGATTCATATTCATAATGTGTATACATTAACGGTCTTCAAGTGCATACAATCCCATCTACGGCTTCTACGCTACATGTTTCGGCAGTATGCTGCCATCTTCAGGTGTATCGATCCATTAACCATTTCACTGCTTGCCTTTATATGTCCATTTACAAATGATATTAAATTTGTATACGTCCTTATATAATAATAAAGTTTGTGTGTTTAAAACTTGTTAAAACCTATTATCTCATACGTCATATTTTTAAAATTTGTGTGTATTATTGATCATCCACATGGGGGTCGTACTTCTTATGTTCTAATGTTGTGTGTGTATATTGTGTCTTATGGTGTGTTCTACTCTCGTGGTTGCGTGTGTTGAATCTCCTAGTATTTCGGTTTCCCCTGCCAATCTTCATTCCACCAAATTCTCCATCATCATAATCACCCAGGGTAGGTACAATAGGCCAATCCGTGGCCGCTGTGCCGAGTGGACCCAACTGGACTCCACCCCCCACTATGCTAATTAAAAGAAAACTTTACCGACAAGCGGCGGTTGCTCAGTATAGTTCACTTGACAACAAAAACTACAGAGTTTGTTTTGTTAGATATAATATTGGCTGAAGAATATGTCTGGGTCCCTACTACTATTAAATAACAGTAAGGAACACTGAAAGAACAGCGGAAAGATATTTTGGTACCCCGTCAAATGAACAAATGATACATCAGTAGAGAAAGCAAGATGAAAAATTAGGGAAAGCAGACTAGAACAAGTATTACTCATTATTATATTAAGTATATCCCAGAAGATATAATTCTTCATAATCACCACTGTGGAAATCTCAAATCCTGCAAGATGCAGAGAGATCTTTGTGGTTTGGTAGAGTACATATATCATCTGTTCTAAACATTTTACATTTAAGGTTTTCATGGGCTTATTATACTGACATGTCTTTCTCTTTCAGGAAGGGAAAGTAGCCATTACTCAAGTTGCTAACCTTCTCCTATGTCTTTATGCAAAAGATACAGTTGCACTTGGCCTTCTTAAGCAAAAGGCACAAGCCCTGGCTGAATATTTGAATGGACCTCTGAAGAAAGTTGCAACATCCTGATCAATCTTTATTTTGAATATTTTTGTCTGTTATTAAGATTTATTATACGTTGTAAAAAACATGGAAGACTTTTGAAGGTGGTATAATATTGTGAATTATGGTTTTGAAGAATGCCATCTTCTGGGATGTGGCAATGTGTAGATCTTGTGTGAACCAACGTTTCGGAGGAATGTATCGTGGTACGCTCTGAAACATTGGTTCACACAAGATCTACACAGCACCACATCCCAGAAGATGGTTCATAGACACCTCCATGAAAACCTCAAATCCTATAATTATGGTTTTGTCTTCACTGTTGCTGTAATATTATGCCTTACTCATGTTTTTGTAAACAAATAATGTAATAGTAAATTAATTAAAAACAACTTTTTACGTATCACTTCATGTAAGTAATAAATGAAATAAGTGTCTGAAACAATATGTATGCTAAATTTTGAAGTTACAGAATCAAGCTGTGCGCAGAACCTTTGTCTGTTACAGACATACACATGTTCCTCATTATGCGAGTTCAAAAAACATGAATTAATTTTAACGCATTCAATTGATGTAGACCAGTTTCAATTAACACTGCCCGCCTTAATGAAAACTGCTTGGCTGATTGAAAGTGGTGGGGAGAAGATTACTGTATGGGTGTGAGAGAAGGAATGCAAAGGCCAAAGGGGAACTCTGGCTCACCCACAGAACCTCTTCCACACATCTGCTGTTGCATGAGAAATCAGAGGCTGGAAAGCAACAAAAAGATGAACGATTTTTAAAAAGGTCACAGCCAGCACATACACCAAATACCTCTAGTAAAATTTTACCATCAGCTTCAGTGACCGTAAATATGAAACAGTGTATTGCTATCCCTTCCCTGTCATCACAATTACCTGCTTCTTCATCATCATCTTCAACTATCTCCCCATACAACTCCTAAGGAGCTGGGATAGAGCAGTCAGTATAGTGCCTGGCTTGATGACTGGGTCACATTTCAAGTCCTGGTAGGGTGAAGAATTTTCTCCACGTCATCCAGACCAGCTCTAAGGCCCACCCGGCCTCCTATGCAATGGGCGGGGCTCTTTCCCCAGGGGTAAAGTGGCCGGGGCATGAATCTGACCACTCACCTCAAACTTAGTGCTAAGAAAACGTGGATTATACATCCACTCCCCCATTTTCATGGTGTAGTGCTTAATTAGCTAAGCACAGGGGCAACTTTACCTTTATTATTAATATAAACTGCTTCTGCCATCTCAGGCATTGAGAAACGTATTAAAATGTTTTTTAATGTTAGAGAGAAAGGGAGAGTGTGTGTGTCTCTCTCTCTCGTGACAGCTAAGACAGTGATGTTGACATAAGTGGTGCAGGTTTTCTGTGCCTGTTTCAAGAATATTATGCCATTCCTATTTGTTAGCATGTCTAGCAGTCTCTTTTCAGAGTAAATACTTATAAACAATTTATTCACATTGAAATTACATAATCATTAAAATAAGAAAGAGGACACGCCATACCACCCAAGACATCGTTTTACAGCAAGAATATTCTGATACTTTTTGTAGCACATCTTAGATATTTCCATTGATTCTTAAAATTATGTTTGATTTATGCAGTTTACCTTCTGTGACTATGGAACACAACTTAAATTGAGGTGCATCTGTACAAAATGATGACTTCACAATTAGTGGTAAGTCATTTTTAGGCATATGTTATAAATATGGAAGCTGTCTGTCATCAGCAACTCTTCTAGAGGAAGAAATTTTGGTGCTTTCATTTCAAAATTTATGGAATGGAAGAATTTTTAATTCAGATTGGGCATTGTGAACTGATGCCAACAAACATTTGTATAAATTTTTAAATGTATCAAAATGTGTAAATATGTAAAATTACCTAATGTCTATTCTAAGACTCTTATAACTCAAACTTTAATACCATTCTTTCATCAGAATTTCATACTTTTGCAGAGTTGGCATGAGGCTTGACTTCTGTTTCATCTTGCATATACCTAATATCATAGGGTGAATAATGTATCAGTCAAGTCTAAATTTGTACTAGGCAAGCAAAATGTACATCCAGAACCAGTAAATGATTTGTGGGATACTTCAAAATGGAGGGGAAGGAAAATTACTAACCTGCAATGTGCTTATACCAATGGGCAGTAGAGACCTGAAATAAAGAACCAATGGGGCAGCAGTGCCTCTGTCTGTGGTCAGAGTTCCTGACTACAGATCCAGAGGTCCTGGGTTCGATTCCCGTCGCCATCAGATTTTCTGAGAAGTGATGGGTCTGGAACAGGGTCCACTCAGCCGCGTGATGATAATTGAGGAGCTATTTCAAGGAAATAGTGGATCCAGCCTAGAAAACCGAAATTAATGGACACGGGGATCCGTTGCACTGACCACATGACGCCCTCTATCCGCCAAAGTTGGCACTAACTTCGCCGACAAGCGGCGATCACTCGGTTGGTATAGTTCACTTGCAGACTAAAACTACGGAGTTTTTTTTTTCCGTGGGACAGCACTGCACATGCATCTTATACTGATGAATGCACGTCATGATATATGACAGGTGTACCCAAACATTTTTGGGTAACAGTTTACAGGAAAAAGTGTTGAATATCAAGCAAGTGCTCTTATGCATTGAAATGTAAAAATCTGAGTAGAACAGACTAAAAGGGTGAAGCACATTAAGCTAACCATACTGTGGTAGTACCCAGTTTGAATCTCAGCCAAACAACTATTCTTTCAAATATGACTTCCCAAATGTCATCTGATGCTGTATAATCTCTACATACTATCGTTAATCATGATAAAAATATAGACCTATTCAAAGGGCAAACCCTTTCAGTGCTTGTGAGAATACAGTGGAGAGACTCTTCCATCAACTGTGGGAACATAGGTGTGTTATCAGTGACATAAACCTCTGTGTCATCATTAGAAAGTTTCATTCTACTTTCAACACTTTCAATATTCACGTGCCAGCAGAAAATTCAAAGACATACAGGACTTATCTTCCAGAAGGCTGTGTTTACAAGTTATGACATACCTGGATTTGTAGAGCAGATGGACTTCAGAGTGTTACAAAATAATGATTCTTAACCAAACAGGATCATACCTGAAATTGTCCACTTGCCAGAAAAGTGCTGTTATAAAAGAATGTGAAGAAGATATAAAGTTATGGTCTTCATAATACTTTGCCTCTCACATAATTTCTGTTTCCCAAGCAGATATCTCCCACCTCAAAAACCACTACTCAACTATACTTCACTCCTGAAATATGCGTGAAAATGATAGAGCTATGTTTCCAAGCCATGTAGTCTCATTTCACTTCTGATTTAATCATGCATATATTTTCCTTCATATGTTTTAAATAATTGGGTAGCTTGTTAACAGATGATGGAAGGTGTACTGGTGAAATTAAATCCAGGATTTCCATGGCAAAAGCTGCATTTAGCAAGAAGAATCTTTTTACCAGCAAATTGAACTTAAATTTGAGGAAGAAACTAGTGAAATGCTACATTTGGAGCATAGCTCTGTATGGGGCTCAAACATGGACACTTAGGGCAGTAGATCAGAAACATCTGGAAAGTTTCGAAATGTGGTGTTGGAGAAGGATGGAGAAGATCAGTTGGACCGATTATGTGAGAAATAATGAAGTGTTAATTAGAGTCAGTGAGCAGAGGAATATCCTACACGAAATAAGAAAACGAAAGGCTAATTGGATTGGTCATGTTTTACGCAGAAACTGTATTCTAAAAGAAGTTATCGAAGGAAAGATAGAGGGGCGGATAGAAGTGACAAGAAGACGAGGAAGAAGACGTAAGAAGATGCTGGATGACCTTGGGGACAGAAGAGGATACTGTCATTTGAAGGAGAAAGCTCTAGATCGCATTAAGTGGAAGAATTGTTTTGGAAGAGGCTGTGGACCTGTCGTCTTCACAGATTACTGATGATGATGATGACTCTCATACCCACTGATTAACAAGAAGGAACGCTATGTACCAGATTCACTACAACTGAACATATTTGGACTTGTATGAAAGGACATCTGGGATTTACTTCTCCAGTGGAGAGTGTGCATTCAACTTAATTTGTCTCTTTAGGATTAATTAGTTTGGTAATTTTATTTTCTATGTTTTATATTCCCTCGGTTGCCACGTTTATGAGCATTCTATATACATCTACAAAGAAAAATGGATGTTATGACTGCCTGGAAAGTGGTCTAACAAATAAGATAAATATGAAAGTTAATTTAAAATAAATATTTCTACCTATAAGTATTGTTGGTGCAGTACTTCAAAATTAGAAATAATTCAGTTTTCTTAGAATCAAATGTATCCTGGACAATCTGGATAATCTGCCTCTGACACAAGTCTGCTATTCTCTCACTCACTGCAAACATTCATAAGGGGGCAATATACGGGCATATAAATGTGACCTGTACACTATACAAAGCAACCCGTTTCAAGTACATTCTATTCTGAGTGTTATTTATTAGACATCTCTTATTTGCCCACAAATTATTTAATCTTTATGCACACTTAGAGGTAATTCGGCATTGGTTCAATAAGACTTCAAACCTCTAGAGAAAGACACCATGTGCAAGCCAATATCTTTTATATTGTTCTAATTATCCTTAACAGGATTTACTTCACTAATATCCATACTATAAATAAACATCATTAAAAAAACATATACCACTGTTTTCTGAAATAACATACAACATACCATGATATAAATATTAAAATGGCAAGGTCATGACTTGCAGTCTTCACAGTAACAGAATATCCACATCTCGTGTGTTACCAACATTGTTCAAGGACACTGCTGATATAAAATGCCATACATATTTCTGTCATGTTTATGGAATTTCATCAGATTTCCATAAATTTCTATTTTTCTTTGTCACGAGCATTAAAAAAAATAAATGAATAAACACTCATTGATTTACAAGGAACTACACAGACCAAGTGAGAAAAGATATACAAAACAAAACAGGAAAAGCGTTGCATTGTTTATGGAAGGTAGAGAAGAACGAAAGCTGTGCGTTATGACAACACTGGTGGAAAAGTCAACAGATATTTACAATTTCTACTAAGCTGTCTTGTTATTCACATTTTTAACTGCATACATAAACATTAAAAGCATACTCTCTTGGACGTCTACCACAAAACAAACCAGCTGGCATGTCAGTATGTAGTGGCATTTATTTACATCATTATGAGTTGAACTGAGTATTTTGTGGTTACTGTCATGAGATTATTTTTTTCCTTTTGTAAAATGGTCAGATGAGTTCAGAAGTTTCTACTTTGCCATAAAAAACCTTTCAAGCATTACCAAACTGCAGAATTAAAAAAAAAAGTTTGATTCTTCATAATTTGAGCACTTCATAAATTATATACATAGTACTAGTCCTTTCCTGTCATGATAGATTATACTTTCACCAACAAATTGGACTAAAATATTACATACCCAATGTAACAAAGCTGATCAATATTAATACATTTTAACATTTCTAATGCACATTTAAAAAGAGAAAAATCTTATGAATAAACGCAAAATAATGAAACAGCATAAATACTCCTGTCTCAAATATCAAACATAACAATGTCCTGGAACAATGTACACTTCAATGTGGACTTACCTCCTCAGTGATAATATGGGAGTGAACAATTACAAGAAGTTAAGAAGTCTCAGAAAGGATGAATAGAAACATAAAAAGTCTTTGTGGTTCATTATTATTAATCCGCTGCCAAAAAGTTCAATATGAAAAAGAACTAATGTTAATGTCTCCAATTCCTTTTTGATTCTTAGCAAAAGACTACAGATCATGCAGCAGGCTAATAAAAGGTAAAATCTTAAAAAAATTCTTCACCAGTGCTTCTCCTGCTATAGCAACAGAAGTCAGCAAAATAATGACCAACTGCAGGTCACTTGCACGAAGGGGGAACCACACAAATATCAGCTGTGAACTAGGGGAAATTCACACAACCAGTACAGAAAATATGTGCGCTTACAGTCAGAATTGAGGAGAGAAATGGTATTTCAAACCTGATCATAATATATAACTATAAAACGAAAGTTCTCCCTTTAAACAGGAATTAGCATGTTTAACATAGTTCATACCTACTGGGAGAAGATCACTTCCACAGCCCCACTGCATAAATGCCTGGATATCAATTCTCACATCATGGGACAAGCTCGGAAAATAACATTCAATTTCGAGGACAATCTTGTGTGAATGTCAACACTCCAACACGACTCCAGCAACCCAACTGTGGATCTCTATGAGCAACTCACTACCTTCTGGTAATCTCTTGGGGTTATTTTTATGCCCAACACATTATAAACACATCTGTTAGACTGAAAGCTGCAGAAATAAAAAATTGAGTCCAGATTCCAATCTTTGAAACTGGATGCCTACTCCAACCAAGATTCACATCCGTGATCCTTTCTGCTGCAAAACCTGTTGAAAAATTATCACACTTTTTATGAAAGGTTCCATGAAACATGCAAAATTACAGTTGAACTTTGTTAGTATATTCTTCATTAGAATACCTTCATATTTGTGGTGCCTAGGTTCTGTGCTTTCTAGCTCAGCTCTTTAAAACTAACATTTTTCTGAGTCATCAGAATATCATGGTGGTTCATTAGAGTTTTACCCAGTGCTGAGCAATGGGACTGTGCTGCCTGTTGTTAGTCACTATACTCTGAAGATGGTGACTGCTAAGTTCAATGAAACAATGGTAAACCAGTGACCAGAACACAGTGTCATTGCCAAGAATTAGAAATGCATGGATCTGCATATATGTTAATATGTTATGCAGCTTTTACAATTAATCCTTTGAAAACTGTACCAATGAAGTTACACTGCACATACATTTTGCTTTCCAATTGTTAACAACAGGAAGGTATGACTTACAAAGATGATTTACAATAAACCCTCGCTAATCAAGAATAACTGGGGTGGGGAGGGGTCATCCAGATTAAGCAATAACACAAATAAAGGGAAAATTTAATGATTAGTGGTGCTGATGGAAATAAAAAATATCACTGTAGAGCCTTTATTTAAAAACTATAAGACAATGCATTTATTCATTGATAGAAGACTCAGAAGTTGTACTTGTTTTTGAATGTGATAATGCAGGTTTGAAGTAACTGTCAAGTTTTGTCTGAACAGACAAGTGACTCATCTGAGTTCCTAAATGCCATGTGTCTTTCAAAGTACATACTCAACTGTGGACAGCATTTTTCTTATTTTGATCCAGATTATCAGCCATCTGGATTAACTGTACCTGGATTAGCAAGGGTTTATTCATTTGGTAGTAGCAATTCACAAACTGGACAAGTTCTACCTCCTCAAAACTCCCATCATTCACCAAGAATGATCACAATTCTTGCTGAATGATAGGAAATTTTAATTTAAGTTCAAAATAATGTCTGACAAATAGAAACATGAAATTTATTGTCTTTCATGATGGTTCCACCATGTTCGAACAACAAAAGACTACATATACAACATAGTAAAACAAAAACAGCTGCAAAAGGGGTTCTGTTCACCATTTTAAACCTATGTGCTTATAAGATATGTATTTACAGGAAAAAAAGACTGTGGAATCAACTTGGAAAATTCAGATTCTGGTCCTCTCTGTTATGACTGTACGGTCTTGTAGGTGGGGCACACAGCAGCATAGTTGGTTGAGGCACTATGCTACAGGCTGGAAGGTTGCGGGTTTGAATCCCAATGAAGTGGATTTTTTTCAATTTACCTAATCTTTCCAGCCGCAACATGGCCCTGGGGTCGACTCAGCCTCTAACAAAAATGAGTACCAGGAATCTTCTTGGGGGGTAAAGGGTGGCTGGTGCATAAAGCTGACAACCTTACTGCCATCTGTGAGCCAACTGTCTAAAGAAAATGTGTGAGCCTCAATGTCTCACAACTCTAAGGGCCTTCATGGCCTGTTACAGGGATTGCTTTACCTTTTTTTTTTTAACCTTTTTACAGTCTTTTAGGTTATAACTATGTAATTATTGTCACTTGCTATTGTTATTATTCTCAGGGTGGGCTGAGACTGAGTTCCTTGATACTTGGGTTGTAAATTGACCACAGACCAGCTTCAGATGATACATGAGAGAAGTGGAGCATTTGGTAGAAGTAGAATTGTCAGGGAAAATCACTGTATTTCAAGAAAATTTGTCCCAGTGTTACTATGTCCATCACATATCCCATATAAACTGACACTGAACTGAACCTGGACTGCTGCAGTGTGATGCAAGCAATCATCTAAGTGATCTATGGCATGGCATGGCAATAATAATAATAATAATAATAATAAAGAAGACCACAACTTAAATTATCACCACTGTGAAGAACTCAAATACTGTACAATTTTAAAAACGTTTCTTCACTTTGAAAACTTATTCTTCTCCTCTGCAAGACTACGTCATGCATAGCAAGCACAACCTCATTCGTTAAGCTACTGATGAATGTCCTTAAAGAGATTAATGACAAAGGTTCATGCTGAATTAATAAAAACATTACCAAGGAGGGGGCAGTAACCATATTAAATGTTTTCTCTATTACATATTCAAGGAAATTCCTGAAAATAAATGCAAAATTGCTCATAAATCTATACGCCAAGTTCTTAATTTCCCTTCATGTATGTGTACCAACTTTTACATGGGTGTCTCTCAAATTAAATCATTCAGAATAAGAGTACATTTATTCTGAACCAAATGTTGTATTGTTATTTGGTGACATTTATAAACAATGAAGAAAATAGAAGTTGACTATTTTCCAGATCCTGCGCCTAGTGGCTTGAAGAACTGGGTCTAAATATTCTTTAAATGTTTCCTTTTAGAATGTGCTATACATATGCACAGAAAATAAATAACTGTTAAGTTGCATCACTGCACCATGAACTTATTCTGGTGGCAACACATGGAGAGGAGTGGTATGAGGTTGTTTTTATCTCTGCTCTTTAACTTGTGAGATCATTAAGCAACAGCTCATAGAAAGTGAAGGATTCCATGAAACTACCTGGTATAACAAAGTATCAGAAAACTGGGAAAGTTATGAAAGATTAATTCAGAAGAACCTCTGCATGGGTGGAATTGTATATAGAAGATTCATGTTACTGATAATTTAAATTGTTTTAATCTGTTTGTATTTAATGAAATTGTTATTACACTGTGTATTATTTTATATTGTTTTTATTGTTTATCTTGACTGTTTCAATGTTTGGAACTTATTAATATTATTATTGACATGTTCTATATCCAGGGTTGTATTTCAACCTATGTTTTGGATTTACTGAATTTGAAATAAATGAATGAATGAATGTAAAAGTCACAGTTTACAGAGTCAACAATTTAACAAGAAACTAAAATTAACAGAAAATTGTGTTTAAAAAACCTGTAAACTGAATAAACGTATCACGGATAATCTAAACACAACCAGTTCTCTATCACATAAATGTCAGTGTGATAAGTTACATTCCATTACATTGCTCCATCCCTGGTAATGGTACAAAAAATTGCTTGGTAATGTGCTGGGTTAACAATGTTTGCAGAGAAATGTAATAACAGAAAGGAAAACACTAAATTCACTCAAAACCAAAGAATCAATTATCTTCCTAGTGAGCATGCTAAATTTGGTCCATATCCATCCTGTATTCATTGCTGTTTGCATACATGCATTCTCATGCAAATACATTCTACTACTGGTACAGGTATTGTTCCATAAGTGGACCACACAAAGTTGTTTTGGGTAAATAGGTAGTACCAGAATGTCATTGTATTATAAAACCCATTAATGCTGCTGAATATTAAATTTCTTCACCTTTGCTCTGTCAGTTGGCTCAGTTTCTTTTGAGTTGAGTGCAGTTGTCCCATACTCCCGCGAAACCACACAAAGAAATTCTGCATGGTCCTCATTCCCATAATTGTACTGTGACCCAATATTAATCAGCTGCAAAAGAAAAGATTGCACCAATGACAATTTTAAGAGTACTGCACTAAACAAAGATTATACATTATAAGAGTTGGTTGAGATTATGATGAATGGTGAATTTACAGGGACAAAAAAAGAATTTATGAGTTACATCTTTCCTAGTAAGTATTAATACTAGTTGACGGGAGCACCATCACCTCCTAAATCAAAGTGCTTCCCTCCTTTTGCTTCATCAACACCAATGGAGACAAAAGGCAAATAAAGGAAAATGAGGATCTGTCATAAAGGAAGAGAAGCGTCTTAGAGCCAAGGGTAAGTAAGTACCTGTTGTCTCTAACAGAGAGAAAGCTAAAGGATCTAGAAGCCCTGGGACAATGTCAACTCCCAAATGGAACAAACACTAACTGGACATCTGTAAATTGCTTGAGCTGAGAATGCATAATGTTGCTTTAGTTAATAATGAAGTCAAAACTTAGACTTAATTTTATTAAAAACAAAAGTGACATCTGGATACAAACTGTTCTTCTGCTCAACAACTTACTCATCAGAGATTGTCACACACTGACTGTGGTTTAATTTTACATCCATTTAATAAAAGTTTACCTGCTCAAACTTCCAACCATCAGACATTGTTGAGACCATCTGTGTGAGTTCATCTTCATGACACTGTAATACTCTATATACGTGTTTCTTTGAATCCCTTAATGGTCGAGCATCTCGGTGACAAATGCGTTCTTTCACAAGATGGATAAGCTCTGTTATGTTGTAGAATTCTGCTTCCTCTAAAACTCCTTAAAAAGAGAATCATCTTCTGTAAGAAAATGTAGCCAGACTCATAAACAGTGCTGCTAACGTCTAATGCAACAATGGATTCTACACTTACCTTCTTCTGCTAAATCTTTGTTTATGACCAGCTTCCCATGTCTTAAATAATTCAGAACAGGACTGAAGTATGTAGGATCTCTATCAATGAGGTATGCGCCTGTTTCATCCTAAAACATTAATTCATCCCATACTTAAATTTGTTAAATAAGGTTAGTACACTTAGCTTGTGTGCAAAATAGTTGTTACCTCACCCTGTCTGAGATTAAATCCGAATCTTCTTGACACAGCCTGAATAGAAACGAGTTAGTATCACGAGAAAGTGTTGTCTTTGTTGTCAAAAAATATGTACCCCCAACATTTAGACGAACCCACTGTTTATTACCCCGCACAGTCGTACTATTTTCTTTCACTTCACGTGAATTTCTTTCATCTACGTCCGCCATGACTGTAATCTCCTATGAAGTATTCTGAGATTTCTTTAGTTATGTACCTTTAACGCAAAATTTTGCGTTATATAACATATTTGAAAAGAGAAATGTGCTGTAACTCTCGATAAATTTAAGCTTTGTATAAAAAAGAGTAATAAGAGAGTAACCAGTTTTGAAATTATACATTTGACAATTATATTCGGGTTTGAGGCTAATTATTTAAAATTCGCGCCGGGTTCGGGTATATGTTTCACTTTGGGCTCGAGATTTGTTAGGATACGGCCATCTTTAGCAGCATTACTGTAGACATTTTTAGTTTGTAAATATAGAGGTGCAGTTTGTAATATATGTAAATGACACGATGCCGGTTAAAGTAGACATAGTTCCACCGCCTCCAGCAAATTCTAAGCAGCCAGGTGTTACACGTTCCTTACTGTATAATGGTTCAAAGTTTCAGGGCCATCAGAAGTCTAAAGGAAATAGCTACGAAGTTGAAGTAGTTCTGCAGGTTAGTTTGTCATATTTAATACTGTGTAGGGCTTTTCCAAGTGAGCATAGAGTCGAAACGGATCTTGTAAGTATAATCATATGTGGTCTGTATTTCAGCACGTTGACGAAGAAAATTCCTATTTATGCGGTTACCTCAAGATTAAAGGACTAACAGAAGAATTCCCAACCCTCACGACATTTTTTGATGGTGAAATTATTAGTAAAAAGTATCCATTCTTAACAAGAAAGTGGGATGCAGATGAAGATGTAGACAAAAAACATTGGGTAAGTCAGTGAAATAATGTTACATGTGTAAAAACTGAATTGGTTCTTACACATAGTATCCATTCTTAACAAGAAAGTGGGATGAAGATGTAGACAAAAAACATTGGGTAAGTCAGTGAAATAATGTTACACGTGTAAAGACTGAATTGGTTCTTGTACATATGGAACGGAATCATATTATGCCTTGTAACAGATATTCTATTAGTTTAACACTTCCTCTGGAGTAAGTTTTCTTCTGTAGTGTTATATCCCATATTTTTCTATAGAATAAACATGTTAGTTTTTATTTAACATGAAATTGACTGACTGCTAGTTGAAATGATTAGGATTCACATTCCCCACCAAGACACAACTGTCACAGCATGCAGTTCATTACACATAAATATTTTAAAGAAATACCAATGTAAACTAGAGTAGCCTAATCTAAAGTTATCATGAACGGTCCTGATTGATACTTACCAACTGTATTTTTGTTTATACAGAACAAACTAAAGTGACAGGGAAACCTTGTTGGATTTTACATTTACATTTATTTATCTTTTCATGGATCCAGTCATCTCCCCATAGTGCTAGATATAAAACATGTCACATATTACAAATTCATGATGACTACACATCATTTGTCCTTGGTCCAATAAAATATATTTATTTATTTTATTTATTTATTTCATCTCTATAAATCATTGTTACATGATATAGGACGAGTCAGTTACTGTATATAATCAAGCCTGAGACAGAATAGCTCAAGTTGTCAGGACAACACACACAGGTCGTGGAAAAACCACAATCAAATTCACACCTTGCCATTCCACACATGCTGGCAAGCCATATCATCCAGACAGTTACACACAGCACACAGGAACATATCAAACCATAAGCCATACAACCTCAAGCTGACGTCTCCCATCTTCTGGATGAATTAACAAGGAGGAGCTCAGCATTTTATATCAAATATTTTAACATTTTAGTGTTTTAACTTAAAAATAGGTTCGGACGAAAAGTGAGAACTTGAGAGTGTACTCAACTATCTTAGCATGTTTTGTGCTTTTACACGTCAACATATCGTAGCAGCGTCCACACGACAAACATAATTGTGAACAAAAAACAGCGACAGTGTTTCCATAATTATAGCAAGTGCCTCTGATGATGGTTGTGTCAAACTGAAACATGTAAGGCAGAAATAATAATAAAAAAGTGACCTACAAATTGTTACACTTGACGGACTTTCTGTTAACTTTGTGACTGATAGTGTAATGGACCAAAATGAAACAATTAAAAAAAAACCTAATTTGCTTTTTATTATTTTTTAAAACTGTGATATTTGATGGCAGGATATTAAATAGCTTGACGCCTGAATAATTCATTCCTTCTGGTACCAATGACATACACAGAGTTATTGTTGAAACTTTTCCAAATTATTAACAGCAAATATACACATGGGACTGGTAGTATGTCAAGCTTTTTAAATAAATCTCTATATGTATGAGTTGGGCCCACTCCCATCATTATTCTCATTGTTATTTTCTTTTGTATAACAAAGACCTTATGACTGTCTGATGGATAAAAGTGATAGCATGATACCACCACACTGATTTTTCAAATTATGTTACTAGCAGGAATATGCATTCACTTTTCATCATCAAAAGTCATCCCAATAGAAGTCTAACCGTCTGTAACTTGACAAGTTAAAATATTAGAAGATTCAGTTAAAAGCACTGTTCCCCACAGTTCACCTCTTCTAGCTGAACTTTGTGTGAATTTACTAGTAAAGGAAATAGGAGGGTTGACAAGAGGATAGTATGAGGTTTCTGTAATTCATGGAATTATTATCTACATGAAGAATTAGCAGTAATCTCATTAAGGAGCTGAAAAAAGCACTGAATTGTATGCACTCTCAGTCATCTTCCTCCCCTTGTCCCTTCACATTCCTCAACATTTGTAAACATATACACACATATATTACATATGCATTGTTGGCATCTCATTCAATTAAAGACCAGTGAATCAAATGAAGTGACCAAAATATACATGACCTCTTGTGTGCAATACCAAAATGACTTAGTTCTTTGTACTGCTTATTTATCTAATATGACTTTTCCACATCCTAAAGTATTGGATTTTATGGAAATAATAGATGAGTAATGAAAATGAAAAAAGAGCTTGTACTGATGCCTGAAATCTTTGAGAGTTCTATAATAAGATGTCTTGGTTCTGCATTGTTTTTGTAAATTGGGGAAGTTTTATTGTATATATGGTTGATATGTTCTTNCATATATTACATATGCATTGTTGGCATCTCGTTCAATTAAAGACCAGTGAATCGAATGAAGTGACCAAAATATACATGACCTGTTGTGTGCAATACCAAAATGACTTAGTTCTTTGTACTGCTTATTTATCTAATATGACTTTTCCACATCCTAAAGTATTGGATTTTATGGAAATAATAGATGAGTAATGAAAATGAAAAAAGAGCTTGTACTGATGCCTGAAATCTTTGAGAGTTCTATAATAAGATGTCTTGGTTCTGCATTGTTTTTGTAAATTGGGGAAGTTTTATTGTATATATGGTTGATATGTTCTTTTTTATTTGTTTTATATTATGAATGCCTTAACTTGTTCCTGTGGGAATGGAATGTTTATTTTTTGATCTGTGACTCATTTTATATCCAATGGTTGTTTCCCAGCCTGTATATGGATCTATTTTTGAATCTGAAATAAATTGAATTGAATTGCGGAACTTTGTGATATCCTTCCTGAGAAACAAATAGTTTCTCAAGTAGTCAAGACATCCCCTTCCATCTTTGGAACCCTTACAACATATTTACATAAGATTATGCCCATTTGTCATTCCATAGATTATTTTAGGGAATCTGATGCCTTACATATGTAGCATGGTACGAAGGGGGACCCAAAAATAACCGGAAACGACCTGTTGCGCGCGCATGCTTTGTAGTTACGAGTTGTGCTGCTAGGTGGTGTTAGCTGGGGGTCTCCCGCGACTGTTAGTGAGCTGGCATCAGTCTGAGTTAAGTGGTTTGTCTGTGGTGCTCTGTTGTGTGCGTTCCTGTTTCAACCCATTGGCGATTAGTGAGATGGCCAACCAGAAGGAACAAAGAGTGTGCATGAAATTTTGCTTTCTGTTAGGGAAAACTGCACTTCACTCTTCAAGTCGCGGCAAACATTCACGCGGTTTTCTCTTTGGTCATCTCCGAGCAAGCGAGGAACAAATTTTGCAGACACCCGTCTCATGTGCAAACCTTCGGTTAAAATTCGCTGGACCGTGCTCCATGAGATGTTCNTGTTTAATCAGATAAAAATTCTACACATATTTCACTCTTCACTGTTCTAAAGTTAACTGATTGGTGTAAAAAATTACACAAGTACTCACAGGCAGAAATATTGTAAATTCCAAATTCTGAAAATGTCTGTGAGGAATCTGCTGTTGAACTTCAGTGAAGAGGCAGAATTTGTAAGTGGATACTTTTGAAAATAATTCCTCCCCCAAACTGTTCTGTTTTTAATCATGCAACTTTGTTTCTAACAGAGTAAATTCGGATCCTTCTACCAGTATGCAAAAACGTTCAATTCCGACAATTTCGACTATGAAGGCCTGAAAACAACCGACTACGTCTTCATGAGGTGGAAAGAGCATTTTCTTGTTCCTGACCACACAATCAAGGATATTAATGGAGCATCATTTGCAGGATTTTACTACATCTGTTTTCAGAAATCAGCAGCTACGATCGAAGGCTACTATTACCATAGGAGTTCGGAATGGTACGACTGTAAACTATGTGATAAGCTGTACCAACCCCAGCTCTGGTGTGTAGTAGGCATATATACATCATATATCATTACTAAACTGCAATCCACTGTCCTAGTCAAAATTGAATTGCAAATTTTAATCATGCCATCATAAACTAATCCTATTTTAAACAGTTGAGGTTTGTTAGAAAGGCCAAGTGGTACCTCTGACTACAGCATTCTCCCCCCCAAAAATAATGGAAAATGACAGCTGAGTGAAATATTTTGGCTGGTGGTTGGAAGTGTTTTAGGATATTTGTAGCTGCTTCACCCTGGTTGATTTTAAAGGGCCATTGTCATTGTCACTGATCTATACATATATGGGAAAGGTGATTTTCCTTGGTTGATCAGAGTATGAACAGTGGTAGTATCAGTAAACACACTAATGCCATTCTGTTAGCAGAGGAAGAATGCTTTCCTGTAACTTACCACATCGAAATAGAATTTCTGTCAGAGCTTGAGTATGGTACTCAGCTTGTTGCTAGAGGTTTTCAAATGATGTATAAAACTTAACTTACTCTTATATTAAAGATAAGTTGTGGTCTTAGATTCACGTGTAACTCTAGCACAGTGCAAAACTAACTGGGGAGATTGCTGAAGTGCAAAATTACGTACCTCTTAAAAGTGTGGCTTTTATATAACAGTATGATGTATAATAATTATGACTTTCTAATGTAATTAATTTTTTCAGGTATCAGTCTCTGACATTAAGTCATGTTCCAGAACACAGTATACAGATCTATGAGTTCAGATGAAAGTGGAGCAAAGGAATTGGATTTATTCATGTTGAGATGTACTATAACACCTGTTACAAATTTGGACTTAATTTTGTGTCGCAAGGTGCAGAAGCAAATGTAATTTGGTCAGTGATGATTTAGCAAAATGAGAATGGAACAATATATTCTTTTGCTAATCCCTTACTGGATAAATATGCTCATTCACTACAAAGCATGAAAGCGTTTTGTAATTTTCATGTTAGGAGAGTGACGAGCTGTTGTTAATTTTTATTTTTAATTAACATTTTTTTTTAAGTTTAATTTTTCCTTGAAAGCTTAATGTCAAGGAGTGTAATGAGTTATACTTGTTGCATATTACTGGATTGAATGTACAGTAACAGCATGTTTCACAGTGCTCTGTTGTATTTGTGTTTATATAACCACAGTATATTATTCCAGAAATACATGTAATTGGTAGCATAATACTCAACATTGTGCAAATATTTTAAATTATTGTGTGTGTAAATAGACAATAGAATTTAGATTGAATAAGTTGCAAATGGTGAAATATGAAAATGGGGATGTTTTGCAAAACTTTATGCAGAGCATATAGTCCAGCATTTTGTGAATATTTTTCTCAGAGAGGTTCTTTTAGCCTTTTTTCTCTCTCCCCCCCCCCCCACGTGTCNTCTGACAGCTATGGGAGTAAATAACTTTAACTGCAATATTATTTACAAAGAAAATAAAGGACTCTGTTTAGAAATATAAATCTTTCCTTCCTGACGTTTTTACAACAAACTGTGCGGTCATTGTTGGTCATATTAACCTATATGTTTAAAAGCCTGCTTTATATAGTAATTTTACAGGCAAAGGACAACAATTTTGGAATTCAGTTTAAAAGTGTTATCACCTGATTCTTACAAGATAATGTGCTGAGTATTACAGTAAGGTATAAAAGTTTGTGATGATGGTACATTTAATTTATTTAGTGGGGGGTGGAGTCCAACTGGGCATGGTGGCCACTGATTGGCCTATTGTAACCTGCCCTGGGTGATTATGATGATGCAGAATTTGGTGGAATGAAGATTGGCAGGGGAAACCGAAGTACTCGGAGAAAACCCGTCCCAGCCCCACTTTGCCCACCACAAATCCCACTTGACCAGATCCGGGATCGAACCCAGCCTGCCACAGTGGGAAGCCAGCGACTAACCGCTTGAGCTATGGCACAGCCTCACGATGGTACATTAGTACAAATATGTTTCTGGACATTATCCATTGTCCTTTTTTTTTATCTACTACACCGTCGTGTTTATATTTCAAAACACGTTTCAGAGACTGGATTCTTCTCTCTGTTTTAAGGTGTTTTGAATAATGTCCAGATACAGATTTGTACTGAGTATTATGGTTTAAGGTTAAACATGTAAGTTGTATTTGTGCCTGGGCACCATAGAGGGAAGGTAGATGAGGTAAACCTCACATTTTCTGGTCCCTGGCTGTAGTTAGATGTGAGTGAAGTTCACAGTCTGGCCACTGTGCCCCTGGACGCAGTGCTAGTGCTACTCATTGGAAGAATCTGAAATGTTGTATGATGATATACTGAAGAATGTGGTTTTGTTAAAATAGTTCAGCACTTAAAATGAGAAACATAAATATCTCAGAAACTGGAGAGTTGTTTTCCTTTTTATTTAATGTTAATGACACATAGACAGACATGACATTTAATATGGTGAGATTCATGGGGATGTTTGCAGACTGGTATGGGTAGAAAAGTTCCAACATGGCAGTGACATGAACTTTTTGAGGTTATATTTAGAAGTAAATTTTCAGCATGTTATATTTGACTGAGAGATTTCAAATATACTGGTACTATGACAAACTTGGAAAGAAGTAACATTCTAACAGAATACAGAATGTAAATTTTAAATTATTACAAGCAATTAAATTACCTCCAGGCACATAATTAGCCAACAGCAAACTTAAGTGAAATGTTTACCTTCCTCATGTATCATAAATATTGGCTTATTTAGTGGCAATTTTCTCTTCTTGCTACTACAGCCTGCTTTGAACTTGGTCTCTTCTACTGGAGGTACCTTCTTAAATCCTGATGAAAAAAAAGGACTTCTTGGATGCAAGATTAGACCATGGAAATCAGGACAGACCAGAAATATGCATACATTATAGGTGTTCTGACAGGGATTCAAAACCCAGTTCTAATGGATGGAGTCTAAAACTGTACAGCACCCACAAAAAGAGGATGAAAGAAATGATTCCTTCAGCTATTTTCGAAGGTTCATTTTTCACAGATTTGATTGGTTCTCATTTGTTCATTTCCACTGTAAGAAACCAATGTTTTGAAACAATTCTAACAATACTGATGTAAGTTTCATGAACAAATTAGTATAAAAGACTTTTCAACCATTAAACACTGCTGTGCATTGAATATGCAAATTTTTTACCAGCTTCCTCTGGCATAATTGTAATACTAATAACAAAAAAATTCTTTATTTCCAAAACTACTCTGGTGTCATCTGCTTTCAAAATGCCAGCTACAACATATTATTCTGCATCCTGTAGTGTATGACTGTAAGACATATATGGAAGATTATGAGTGTAAGTAAAAGGTGCTAAGGAATATACAGACCTACCTAAATTGAACAGGGTAAGGAAAAAAGCATATAAGGAACTTTGTGATTTAGACTTCTTTTTGTAGCTGGGATACCTCAGTCAATGTAGCGACAGGCTACAGACTGGTGAGCCACGGAGTTAGGATCTGATTCCCAAGAGAGCAAGAGGTTTTTCTCTTCTCCACAGCTTGCAGACCATCTCTGGGACCTATCCAGCCTCATATCAAGTGGATAGTGCAGATTCTTTCCCCAGGGGGTGAAGTGGTTGGGGCATGAAGCTGACAACTCATCTCCATCTAGTGCCAAGCTTAAAAATGATGGAGTTATACATCCACTTCCCCATTATGTCTTCACGGTGTGGTGCTTAATTAAACACAGTAAAAACTTTAGTTCCTCTCTTCTTCTTAGAATTATGAGACAAACAGCTCAGCTGGGAGAACCGAAAGATATAAAGATTCGGCAAGGAACCTTTGGTAAAAGTGGCCACTTGGAATGTAGAGGATAAGAATAAAATTAAGGAAAATTTGGAATGAAATGAAATGGGCAGGATTTGGTGTCTGTGGTGTTGATCTTGGAGTGCTATTACCACAGTCAATGTCTTTAAAGTGAAAAAGTGACATGTAAATTCCTAAGAACTGTCAGAGTAAAATAGATATCTAACAGCATTCTAACAAATAGGTACATAAATTTGTTGGTTTGCACAAGATGAATGGAATCAGTTGCACTCATCTCTGTAATCTCCTTTCAGTGGCAAGGTGAAGGAATAAATTTTTGAGATTCAGCTTATGAGAGAAGCCCCTCTATTCTGTGTTTAGAAATGATTCTGCAGCAACTGCAGTTTATGAACAAAGATAAATTTGACCTCTCACAGCTGTGGGATAGAATGCTGAGCTATTAGTACCTGAAGCTAATCTGAGGTTGAAATTACTATTGCAAAGTTGAAAAAGTATAAATTGCCAAATATGATCAATTTCTGGCAGAAATGATCCAAGCAGGAGGTAAAGCATTATATCCTGAAAGCCATGAACTCATTAATTCTATTTAGAATAAGGCAGAATTGCCTCAGTAGAGGAAGGATTACCAATTTAGAAGATGGGTGATAAAACTGAATTACTAGGGCATATCCTTGTTACCAACTTCAATCAAAATTTTATCCAATATATTTCTCTCAATGTCAAGTCCATAAGTGGACAAAATTATAGGGGACCAACAGTGTGGGTTTCAACATAACAGATCAACTAGTGATCAGATTTTTTGCATTTGTCAGATACTGGAGAAAAAATGGGAGTACAATTGGACAGTATATCAGCTATTCATAGACTTCAAGAAAGCCTATGATTCAGTTCAGGGGGAACCACTGTACAATTGATTATGCATTAAATTAAATTTATTGTAAAGTCAGTATAGGTTTACATCTCTCTTATATGTTCTCAAAATGGTCTAAAACAAGGAGCTCCTTTTTCACCATTACTTTTCAACTTCGCTTAAGAATACACCAATAGGAAGGTCCAAGAACACAGGGGGAACAGAAACTGGGACACATCAGCTTCTGGTCTATATTGATAATGTACATCTACTGTGATATAACATAAATACCATAAGAACAACATAGAAGCTCTGACTCTAGTAAGGAAGCTGATCTAGAAGAGAACACAGAGAAAACAAGGTACATGTTGCTGTCACATCACCAGAATGTATGGCAAAATCATAATAGAAACATAGCTAACAGGTCCTTGGAAAATATGGCAAAGTTAATATATTTGGGAACAACAACACATCAAAATGTGATTCAGAAGGAAATTACGAGTAGATTAAATCTCGGAATTGCTTGCTACCATTCAGTTCAGAACTTTCTGTCTTCTCTGGTATCGAAAAATGTAAGAATTAAAATAAAATTACTAATTTGCCTGTAATTTTCTATGGGTATGAAATGTGGTTTCTGAAATTCTGGGAATAACACAGACTAAGGTGTTTGGCAACAGAATGCTCAGGGGAATATTTGGACTGAAGAGGGATAAAATAGCATCAGGTTTAAGAAAACTGCACAATGTGGAGCTTCATATTTTGTGCTCCTCACATAATATTAGAATGATCAACATGAGGAGGATAGGATTGGCTGTGCATGTAGTACATTTGAGATAAGCGTAGACAGTATTTTGGTAGGGAAACCTGGCAGAAAGAGACCACTAGCAAGACCTAGATGTAGATGGAAGGATAATATTAAAATGGATCTTAAAGAAATAGCATGGGGTGGTACAGACTGAATTCATTTGGCTTAGGATGGGAGCCAGTGGAGGGCTCTTGTGAACACAGTATGGAACCTTCAAGTTCCATAAAGTGTTAGGTAATTTTTAAATAGCCAAGTCACTGGTGGCTGGCTTCTAAAGGATTCAGCTCCATGTAGTTAATTAGTTTATGTACTAATTAGGATTCAGCTCCATGTAGTTAATTAGTTTATGTACTAATTACAATTCAGCTGTTTAACACTTGAGCTAACTACTCAGTGCACGACACAGTATTTGTGCTGAGAGAATGTTCATTACCTGCAGATGATACTTACACATTCTGGAATAAAATTCTGTACGTAAGGTCCAAGCAAAGGACATTAAATCTTCACTCAGGATATAAATTTCATGACTGCTATAATGTTAGTTTATTCCTCCTGAAACATTCACAGTGGCAAAGACTGGTGGGTTAAAATTAAAGCCTTCAAAAAGAGGGCCAAGAGTACGTTACTGACCCTTGCATACCAAAGGTAACAGATCCTACAGCATCTGTTTAGTTAAAATTCATATTACTTGTGTTTTACATTATCATTATCCATTAGCTTCAACATGGACCACACACTTCCTAAATGAAAT